CAAACCATATACAATGAGTGGGGGAGACAAACCATATACAATGAGTGTGGGAGACAAACCATATACAATGAGTGTGGGAGACACTAACCATATTAAATGAGTGGTGGAGACACCAACCATATACAATGAGTGTGGGAGACAAACCATATACAATGAGTGGGGGAGACAAACCATATACAATGAGTGTGGGAGACAAACCATATACAATGAGTGTGGGAGACAAACCATATACAATGAGTGTGGGAGACAAACCATATACAATGAGTGGGGGAGACAAACCATATACAATGAGTGTGGGAGACAAACCATATACAATGAGTGTGGGAGACAAACCATATACAATGAGTGTGGGAGACAAACCATATACAATGAGTGGGGGAGACAAACCATATACAATGAGTGGGGGAGACAAACCATATACAATGAGTGTGGGAGACACTAACCATATTAAATGAGTGGTGGAGACACCAACCATATACAATGAGTGTGGGAGACAAACCATATACAATGAGTGGGGGAGACAAACCATATACAATGAGTGTGGGAGACAAACCATATACAATGAGTGTGGGAGACAAACCATATACAATGAGTGTGGGAGACAAACCATATACAATGAGTGGGGGAGACAAACCATATACAATGAGTGGGGGAGACAAACCATATACAATGAGTGTGGGAGACAAACCATATACAATGAGTGTGGTAGACACCAACCATATACAATGAGTGTGGGAGACAAACCATATACAATGAGTGTGGGAGACAAACCATATACAATGAGTGGGGGAGACAAACCATATACAATGAGTGTGGGAGACAAACCATATACAATGAGTGTGGGAGACAAACCATATACAATGAGTGGGGGAGACAAACCATATACAATGAGTGGGGGAGACAAACCATATACAATGAGTGTGGGAGACAAACCATATACAATGAGTGTGGGAGACAAACCATATACAATGAGTGTGGGAGACAAACCATATACAATGAGTGTGGGAGACAAACCATATACAATGAGTGTGGGAGACAAACCATATACAATGAGTGTGGGAGACACTAACCATATTAAATGAGTGGTGGAGACACCAACCATATACAATGAGTGGGGGAGACAAACCATATACAATGAGTGGGGGAGACAAACCATATACAATGAGTGTGGGAGACAAACCATATACAATGAGTGTGGGAGACAAACCATATACAATGAGTGTGGGAGACAAACCATATACAATGAGTGTGGGAGACACTAACCATATTAAATGAGTGGTGGAGACACCAACCATATACAATGAGTGGGGGAGACAAACCATATACAATGAGTGGGGGAGACAAACCATATACAATGAGTGGGGGAGACAAACCATATACAATGAGTGTGGGAGACACTAACCATATTAAATGAGTGGTGGAGACACCAACCATATACAATGAGAGGGGGAGACACTTACCATATACAATGAGTGGGTGAGACACCAACCATATACAATGAGTGGGGGAGACACAAACAATATACAATGAGAGGGGGAGACACTAACCATATATAATGAGTAGGGGAGACACTAACCATATACAATGAGTGGGGGAGACACTAACCATATACAACGAGTGGGGGAGACACTAACCATATACAATGAGTGGAGAAGACACTAACCATATATAATGAGTGGGGGAGACACTAACCATATACAATGAGTGGGAGAGACACTAACCATATACAATGGGTGGGGGAGACAATAACCATATACAATGAATGGGGAGACACTTACCATATTAAATGAGAGGTGGAGACACCAACCATATACAATGAGTGGGGGAGACATGAACCATATACAATGAATGGGGGAGACACTAACCATATACAATAAGTGAGGGAGACACTAACCAGATACAATGAGTGGGGGAGACACTAACCATATACAATGAGTGGGGGAGACACTAATCATATACAATGAGTGGGGGAGACACTAACCATATACAATGAGTGGAGGAGACACTAACCATATACAATGGGTGGGGGAGACAATAACCATATACAATGAATGGGGAGACACTTACCATATTAAATGAGAGGTGGAGACACCAACCATATACAATGAGTGGGGGAGACATTAACCATATACAATGAGTGGGGGAGACACTAACCATATACAATGGGTGGGAGAGACACTAACCATATACAATGGGTGGGGGAGACAATAACCATATACAATGAATGGGGAGACACTTACCATATTAAATGAGTGGTTGAGACACTAACTATATACAATGAGTGGGGGAGACATGAACCATATACAATGAATGGGGGAGACACTAACCATATACAATAAGTGAGGGAGACACTAACCATATACAATGAGTGGGGGAGACTAACCATATACAATGAGTGGGGGAGACACTAATCATATACAATGAGTGGGGGAGACACTAACCATATACAATGAGTGGGGGAGACACTAACCATATACAATGAGTGGAGAAGACACTAACCATATATAATGAGTGGGGGAGACACTAACCATATACAATGAGTGGAGGAGACACTAACCATATACAATGAATGGAGGAGATACTAACCATATACACTGAGTGGAGGAGACACTAACCATATACACCGAGTGGAGGAGACACTAACCATATACAATAAGTGAGGGAGACACTAACCATATACAATAAGTGAGGGAGACACTTACCATATACAATGAGAGGGGGAGACACTAACCATATACAATGGGTGGGGGAGACACTAACCATATACAACGAGTGGGGGAGACATTAACCATATACAATGAGTGGAGGAGACACCAACCATATACAATGGGTGGGGGAGACACTACCATGTACAATGAGTGGGTAAGACACTAACCATATACAACGAGTGGGGGAGACATTAACCATATACAATGAGTGGAGGAGACACTAACCATATACAATGGGTGGGGGAGACACTACCATGTACAATGAGTGGGGGAGACACTAACCATATATCAACCATAACTAACAGTTTACATCCAGAGACACAATGAGTGATTATCTGTACAGGTTTACTAGTTCTAAAACAATTCAATTACAACATACAATGTGTGTACAAAAAATCTACACAATTTGTGCAAGTGGAGCTCGACCATTTCCAATCTGTTATATAAAACAAGACAAACCTGAAATTTATTTTTAAATTCACTAACAAACTATTGAATCTATGTTTAAAGTACACAATTCATCCCTTTGTATTTGTAGAATATTTAAGAACAGCAATATGTATAAACATTTTTCATCTAAAAAATTATAAAAAAAAACAAATTTTATTGCACAACATATTATGACGTAAAGCTGGTAAAATGAACAATATCCCTTGAACAGCTTTTACATCATACATGATAAATGATAAAATCTAATAAATTCCCATTTAATCCGAACACAAGGAAATGATTACTGGAACGCGCTATACAGGTGTAAGGACACATGGGAGTGACCTAAGACATGTAACAACAGGATGGTTATTATGGATGTGTAAATTTAGATATAAGTTTTCACGGTACAACAAATTATACACAAACATTATTGTTTAAAACACATTTACAATATTTCTATATTTTATTAGCAAAATAACATTTCATAGAATGATTACTTTTTTCAATATTGAATCTTCATAAAAAAATAATGGTGGTATTTATCTTCTCAAGATCTCAAGAGAGGATGACAAATTTTGAAAAAATCTGAGACATGCTTTGCAATTGAACTCAATCCTTAAAATAATTCTTTGATCTGGTTTGAAAGATCAAAAATAGCAAATGACCTCATCATTAGATCACATTCAAATATTATTAAAGATGGAGCCTTTGAAAAATACAATCTGTTCTGAATTTTAAATCTTTTTCATATGTGACCTTTTACATAACCAGGAAGTCATATCTCTAAATGAAATCAGATATTTTGTCAATAGTGTGTTTTCATACTTGAACTTAAATACAAGTATGTACTATATTTAAATCTATTCAAATAACACTTGTAATCCACTTGTATGTACATACTGCTTTCAAGCATCTCCCTAATTCCTGGAACCATGAAGAATGAAAACGCAAATTTAAACATAAATTTTCAGAAAAGAATGTCACTAATTGAAACAATAAACAAAACTCTAAAACATATCACAAAAATGACAGTGATAAATTAAACAGAAAACCAAACAAGAAGGACATGCACTATTAGAATTGTTGTCCATCAGGCCAGGCCACATCATCATGCTTCTTCATCATCAGTCACTGAATAGGACATGCATATGTTACAAACTTTTTACTGAGCATGTTCTCAACACCAGCCATCGTTATAAACTAGATATTTTGTACAGGATTAGTAGTACTTGAAAAGTGTGTATTTACACTAGATTTTCTCGTGACATCTCCATAACATGATCTGTATTTGTTTCTTTGTTTTGTATATAAAACACATAACTTCATTTAAAACACATAACTTCATTTTAATTAAAGCTTAAAATTAAACCAGGCTAATTTACCAGTTGATATTGAATTAATCCAAGAGCTGATTATTGGAAACTTACAAATAAAAGGTTTCTTCTTAAAAATATCAAAAATGGAATATAAATCATGTTGATATTACAACTTGGTCATTAATTATTTTAATCAGAAGTTATATCAATCTTAGGTTTCATATTCTGCATGGTTTAGTAAACATGGTATCATAATTGAGTTATAAATATCCAATATATATATGTATAAATATACAGAGCTGAGGCTAACATTATACATAGGACGTGCAACTATGAGCATTCCACGTAACAGGCTGATGGTGCGTACAGTGCTCGCATAAAGCTTGCAAATACACTTTCCAGGAGGTGAAAATTAAAACCAACAAAACCAAATTGCCATGCAGTATTTGTAAAAAAGGAGAAGTGTGCTACACCAAGGGAACACTCCACTCAATCCTAAAACCAATCCAAAAATACAATTCTTACACAAAATTCATACACTTACGTTGGTGTCAGTAGCATCTTGGGCAAACTGTCAATTTGAAGAAAAAAACAGAAACGGACATGAGAACTTTGTATGAAATAATAAGAATCATTGTGGTAAATGTGACACTACAACCACAAACACGTTGGCTTTCTAGATACAACAGCCGAGAAAAAAGAGCCCTGGCAAAGACCGAATTTCATCCTAATACGCAAGAAAACAGGTTTAAATTTTAGGAGATATAATGGATAGCTGCCATGCTAAAATACTGTGTCTTCACATCATTTATCATCAGTGGCATCGAAAATGGGGACCAGTATCAGAAAGATGGTAAGGGAGAATGCAAGGTTATTCAGGGTAGGTAACTCCAAATGTAGAAGGATTGTAATACCAAAAGATGAGAACATGGTTGTGAAATGCGATGCATTGATAAGTATCAGTGTTTTAACAGACACAGATGTTAGTATACCAGATACATGGACTGCCCTTCTGATTAAAAGTCTGACAAAATAAAATGGTTGACCAGATAAACTCATAAAGAGGCAGTCAAATGTTCATTACTTATCTGACTAGGTATATATCTTATACATACATGTATGTTGATTAGCCAAGAAAAAAATGTCCCATAACATGAAGCAAATATCAAATTTATTTTTGTATGTGAAATTTTACACACAATATTTTCATCAGCTTTGACAGAATTTATAATGTGAGTCTAAATGTTACATAAGGTTTTTACCATTCAGTCCTTGCCCATCAAAAATGATATCAACATCACCTTGAATGGCACATGAAATTATGTTCAAAGAATCTTAAAGTCCGTAATTTTACGAATAACAAATACATTTGTCCTTAATCTAGAGATTCATATTAAACAATAACTATGATCAATAATGATCATTTTCAATATTCATTCAATTGGAATTTCGAACCAAACTATAAAATAAATGGAAAAATAAATGCTCCCGTCAGCAACCAAGAAGAAGTTTGGATATTTTTAGTGTTATTGAGGTGTACTCATGACTTGTGAAATAAAATCTCTGTCCTGCATGTAAAATATATGGTAAAAGTCTTAAAAATTGAATGGCTATGACTTTGGGAAAAAAAAAAATTATGACCAAATTAAAAAAACTTAATTTGCGTATTAGTATTGCACAAAAACAAACCAAAGTATAGTTTTATATCTATATCTGTTGAACAGTAAACAAGCAGAACTGAAATTTTGGCAGACAATTAAAAATAACAACACTACCAAACAGAATAACCAAACTTTCAAATGTAATGAAAATTTAAGATTAATTTTGCTTACCAATTAACAGTAATTCAATCAAAAAATCCTTCATCCATAAAACCATTTATCTCCCATATGTTTAATCTACGGGTAATAATCATAGCCACTTCCTACACACAGAACATGTTTACTTTCCCAAGCTGGCACAGAATCTCATGTACTGATCACAAATGTTATCTATATATATGAAGGTGCATCCCTTCAAATTTCAATTCTTGACACCTAGTCAATGTATGGCATATTTGATAGGAATTTAACAGGGGTACAAGCAAAGTCCTCGATTGCCACATGTCATTTTCCAATCATCGGTAAACCAATGATAGGCAGATGTGCGTTTCTACTTGCAACCTACTGATTTACTAATTTTCCTGTCAATATGACTCCAATGTGTTTCTTTGACAATCATCAGTTAAAATCAAGGTTCTTCATCACACAAAAATAAAGACGATTTTACATAAACAACAGGTGACAGACGCGTATGTGGAGTAACGGATAGGGAACACCTTTTGTTAAGTATTATCTGAGAAAGATCCCCTGGTGTTTAGTCTGCTTGGGTTAAACTAATCGATATAAAAAGCATGGCCATGTACACCAAACATAACATCAAACTGATGGCAGCAATTGTCTTTCATAATTAGGTCACCACATTTATTACGTGACCAAAAGAAAATAATTTTAGGAGAAAAACATTCTTGAATTTACTAATTCAATATAACAAGACTTCACACATTTATTTGTAGAGAAAATTTTGAGCTAAACCTTCACAGGTAAACAGTGGCCAGGTGAGCGTATCCAGAATAGCTCACCTGGTCTCATGTGACAGATTGCAGACGAGAAGTTCTAAACACTGAAATGGAAGGTAAAACTGTGACATAAAAGCCAACGCTCCAACACACACAATCAAAAGTCACCAGTGTATGTAACAGTTGTGGCAAAAAACACTACAAAGAAGTCGGATCTGTAAAAGTAAAGGTTTCTACTCAAATAAATAGATGCCTTCCCTGATTACACATTTTTTATTGTGTTAAAATTCACATCAAACTTAAGACATTTCTTTTGTCTTTTAACATTTAAATTGTAATGGCACAAGGGTTTTTTTCTGTTTTGAAGATCAAAATTTTTCTCAATCTGTCCACAGCAAATATCACTGCTAAAACTTTTGGCGGTATATGGCATATTTAAACAGTTGCCACTGAAATAAATTTTTTAAATTTTGATTACTAAAAATCAAATTTTCAAGCAAAAATAGGTGTGTGATGTAGTGAAATTGTAAATGAATTTGTTAAATTCTTAGAAATATATAATAAGGTGAAATGAAAAATACACCCCCGCCACCCGCCCCCACAAACTCCCTGACCAAAAAAAATTTACTAGTGAGGGGAAAGTGCAAATGTAGTTTTCAACCTATTGAAGAATAAGAAGCAGTGAAAAAAAATATGTTATAACTCATTATTCATTTGTTACCTGTACACAAATGGAGCTTAATTCAACGATTCTGTATATCACAACACTTATTTGGATTAAATGTTTCCCATAGAATAAAAAAAATATATTGATTTTACTTTCATGTCTTACCTATAAGATCTAATCACTACTTAGGAGGATCTTACCATCAATCAATTCTGAATTTGATTGTGTAACCAATTCAGACTACGATAACATATCAGTTCTTCCATCAGGTAAGTAATTCACAACCAGGATATGTCACCATAATTACAAGTACAGATCTTACACTGAAATTTTTGTGAAAGGTTCGGTTATACATTGTATACGAATTTGCATCGTAAATTTGAACACAATGTAACACAAATACTCTAGTCCCCTTTAAAAAAAGATGAAATTAAGTCTGCATTCACACAAGGGTTATTTCTTTATCAAGTTTCTCTAGCACACTGAGTTATCATAGGCCTCTACATTTTAACTTACAGCACCATTCCTATTTAATTGGCACATTAAGTATGATACATACCAGGTACCTGCCAACGTTTCAAAATTCTCATGGGGGTGAAAAGTGTGTGACTCGTCACGATACCTTGTGCATCGCAACATTTGTCACAAAGATGAAATTAATTAATGTATATTTAATCTAAACATCTTAACATCTAGTTAACTTTAAATTGATAAAGTGCATGCAATGAAAAAAATATATCTGCGTTTTTCGTAAGTAAGGTTCAAGATGGAATTTATTCATTTCACATTCTCAGTATTCACAGAGCTCAGACAATATAACAGATATTAAGATTGGTGATTGTCTGTTTGGTTGTTAGTATGAATATGCATTTCTGGATAAGATGCTTCTGAAAAAATATGTTTAATTGAAATAAGGAAAAATAATGTTAATAATTTCATGAAATTTTAAGGTGGCATTTTATTAAAATGTTAGAGAAAGAGGTAAAAAAGATAAATGAAATAAATTCTGTCATAAAATTCAAAATGTTTTGATCTAGATCTAATGGTCCGTGATATTTGAAGTTTTGTATTTACTGTGAAATATGAATTTAGAAAATATCTATAGACCGATACAAATCAGGAAATCTGATCCAGATCTGTTCCTGTTTTACAAAGTTGTAGCTACTTTCTGTTTAACCATTATCACATTTTTGTCGAGAACTAAACATGCTTGAAATTCAAGAAGATCGTTTTTCAAACAATTTTCTTGTTGAATTTGTTGTTTGACCAAATAAGCAGTATGACCATGGTACTGCTTAATTAACTGTAAAATTACCTCATCTTGACCAAAAATTTACCATGGCCCAAGGGTAGGGAGCAATCAGCCGTGTACAAGTGCATGGAATGCACCCATACCGACATAATGTATAAAAAAAAGTATGGGAAAAAAAACACTCAAAAAAGTACAAAAAAGTATACTTTTTTGGACTCAATTTGGAACCAAAAGTTTAACATGATTCCAAATTGTGTCAAAAAAAGGTTAATAAAACAATACTTTTGGTACATTTGATAATTTTCACAAGCACAGATCTAGCATATAGATAGTACAAAAATAATAGAAAGTACTAAAAAAGTACATACGACCAAAATTATTTAAACTTATACTTATTTTGTACTTGTATATACTGTTAATGGTACTTTACAGGTAATTTAAAAAAAAGTACAAAAATAGTAAAAAATGGGTATATTGTATAAGCAGTAAAAAAAAATACAGACTGTGTGTGGGACAATTACTAGAATAGTACTTCTGTTGTATTTTAATTGTACTTTTACAACAGTATCCAAAAAATTTGCAAAAACTAGGAAAAAGTTAAATATATGTCATAAATAGCATTTATAAAGGTCAATAAAAATACAGAAATAAACTTTTATCCAGCTTGTTCTCAGAGAAGTACTGAAAGTGTACTTTTTTGTACTTTACCTATACTTTTTGAGATAAAAAAAAAAGTACTTAAAAAAAAACAAAAGTACTCAAAAGTACATAAATATGTCACAAAAAGTACATCTGAAGAACTCAAAAACCACAGAATTTTACCATTTTTTACTTTATAATGTAGCATTTTTACTTCATTTAATAAAAACACTTTTGAAAATCTAAAAATTAAAGTTCAATAACTCCAACAATGAAGCTTTCAAATTAACAGATTTCTGGAGTAACAATAAATCAAATTGATATGGCCTTTAATCTGTCAGTTTATCATTTTCTATAGCTATATCATATACTGTATAAACTCTGTAATGATTGTAATGAAAAATAAATATCTCAAACAAATCAATGTTGCAAAAATTAAATTATTTCAATGTAAAT